TAAGATAACTAGAGACTAATAATTTATTGGTGAAGTTAACTGCAAACGTTTCAACTTTGGATATGAATCCTCTTCAGTGGAAGCAAGCAACAAACTGTATATTCAAATCCAGAGACGAAACATTTGCAGTTAATTTAGTAAGTATATTCCGATTATTTGCGAATTATATTTTATCGCTTTAATATATTATTCACGCATCAATAACTCATATAGGCATTTTACTTATATTTGGAGATTAGAATTTGACCAGTGAGATAATTTCTATTTTAATTTGTTTTTTCTTTAATTGAATGAATTCTAATTCCCAATTCGCAATCCTCATTCTTCAATGCAGTGTAACATAGGTTTAACATTTATGCTCGTTCGCTAACATAATTTGTAATTCAATATCGATTGATTTACAGTCTTTGGAAATCAATCGATACCTGCATATTCAATGATATCGAAAGTTCTCCTGTATTGAATTCCTCAATGTAGAAAATGGCTATTAATATGGAATTTATGTGTATCCACCCGTATTCTCTAATGATTTACAATCGAATTATTTTCCAATAATGCTTTGATCTGATAATTGCATCGGGATGCATTTCTGCTCGATGCGACTTTTAATTTTTCTCTCTGTAAGCGGACTCCACACATTTAATCTTGATTCCGATATTTATCACTCTATCATACATTATCATTCCACTGATAATTTATAGTATCATTTCCCAGCAATAATTCACGAAGCTATTAATCGTGGACATCTCATTCATTTATCTTTGTATCCTTACAAAACTTTTCGGTATTTTTTAGCTCCAAAAGTAGACAGGTAATAAAGAACATCACGTATAATGTGGTGCAAATAAAAAATTTGCTGATGTTCTATTTAATATGATAACGCACTCTCGGATATTAAGGTCGAGCGAAGTATAATTAAAATCGTTAAATAAATAGAGCGACATAATGATCATCTGACAGTAAATTTAACAATTATTATAAAATCAATTTAACAATTATTATAAAAAATATGACAAATATTTAGGTACAAATTATTATTAAAAAATCATTACAATCATTAACATTGAAACTTAAAAAATTATAAAATTTGTAAAATTAAGAAAATTCGTCTTAGAAGCTTAATTTTATTTCAAATTAACAAATTTTTTTAATTTTCTAATTTTTAAATGCCAATGTTAATAACTGCAGTGATTTTATATAATGAATATTAAGTATATAAAATGAATATTAAGTAAATATTTATTTTTTTTACAGTTTTATAATAATTGTTAAATTTACCATCGAATATATTCGATGATAAATTTAACAATTATTATAAAATCGTCAAAAATGACAAATATTTATCTAATAATCATTACATAAAATCATTATGGTAATTAACATCGTTATTTAAAACTTATAAAATTAGGAAAATTCGTCTAAAGATAAAAATTTGATATTAATAATAATCTTACATATTATATTGTGATATTATCTAGTAATTCCATTTTAAATATGAGTAAAATAAATTTATACGTGATATATATTTACACTGAAATTAAATTATTGAAGTTACCATTCGAAGTATAAATGAGATTCGAAGACATTGACGAAATGGCAATGGAAAAAACCCATCAAGGGAAACGAACGCCTTTAATGTTTTCGATTATACGACAAGCTGTCGAAACATCGGAAACCACGAGGGTCTGGAAACCGATGCGATAAATTCCTGATACTTGGTATAAAAGGCAACATCAACATGTTTCACTTTCAGAGACAGAAAAAGGACCAAAATATTTTCCAAACCAGAATGTTAAAATGTGATATTATTGATATTTACTTTATATATGTTATTGATATTTCATGTATTATTAAACGTTATTATCAAACACTAACAAGCAAAACAACTGAAGGACAGAAATCAGTCGACGCGCCTTTCATGTGGTGAAATAATGATGGGAATATTTCAGCAACTCTCAGCGCGTTTCTTCATAATTCACCTCTAAAGAGCTCGGATTCGAGTCGTTTCCCCATCAAAGAGATAATCCGCACAGATGAAATTCGACGTGGTGAATGAGAAAACTTTAATCGAGGTGATATACCGAAGTACAGAGAAAAGGGACGTACATTGATCTCGATGATAAAGCTAAAAATCCCATTAGAATAATATATCGAGCCTCGTAACAGTCTTTTCTCTGCCGAACGAACTTTTTTTATCTCCTTTTATAACCTTTTATCTCAACTCTGTATCTATCTCCCGAGACTTTTTCCAAGCAATTTCTCGCGTGTTATATTTATGAATAGACGACGTATATCCCACCGAGTGCATTGAGCGTGTCCGAGAAATTCGCGTTGACGAATCAACCCGGAAGTGGCGGCGCGATTCGAGACAAGTGAGTCACTCTAATCATTGCAGTACATTAACAAAAACGTCTGATTGAAAATAGACGAATCATCAAAAGAGTGATGATCAATCAGAATAAATAATTAATCTTATTCTCTAAATCTTTTAGAATGAATTTCATTTTGAAGAGAAAATCTCACTTTTAAAGACTAAAAATTGAGTCCTCTTCTTTAAAATTGGCTCAATTTTCACTTTTTAAAGTGAGATTCCATTCCAAAGAATTTAGGCAGTAATTAGAATTTAATAGATTTAACTAAAAAATTCTAATTCGTTCATTTTTAATTAATAACTTAAATAATTATTTTTGGAACAACTATAATATTTATTTAGTTATTTTAACTGAAAATATAGTCAATTGTGCTATTAAATATTGTCGTATACACTGCTTAAAAATCTTTAATTTCTTCTTAACATATTTTCTGGTTATTATTACCGCATAAATAGTTATATTCATTATAATTGCGATTGCACTTACTAAATAAAAATGTTTATATTATTTACCGTGTATATTTTGATATTTTATTGTATTAATATTTTATTTATTGAAATTATCATAAATTGTAGTACGTGTACAATTTTTTCACGTTTGAAAGAATTTACAAATAAGATTATCATTATTAACAGTAATAACCATAAAAATAGAGCTTTTAACCGTAATTATTTTATACAATACAATTATATAAGTCACAAATACCAAACATTTTTCTCTGAATAATTTCTTCATAACAAAAGGAGTCAATTTCAGAGTTGTATTTTGCGAAATCGCATTTCATATAAATTATAGATCTGTTCTTTTCAGTTGAGTTTCTTACACGGTTCAGCTCTTCTCTTTATTATTTTTTCATGTTTTATGTTGGAATAAAAAAGAGAAAGAGTAACTGATGCAAGAAATTCAGCTAATGCCTGTTTCTATCAATGTAAATTAATTAACTTTAATTTCGGTTTAATTTATTCTTTATCCTTTTCTAAATCTTAAAACTCTAGAAAAAAATAAAAAGTAAGTTAAATCAGGATTAAAGTTAATCTACATTGGTCGAAACGGAAATTAAAAAAACCAGCTCTCATTAAATTCGTTACATTCACTAAATACGCTACAATTCTTTTCTTCTTATAAAAATAAGACTATCGCACATCGAACGCGGAAATTTTCGGAAACGCGGAATTGCGCACGCGGATGAGTTCCAATTTCATTTTAATTTCAATAATGCTGCGCCAACGCTTCGCATTTAATAAAAGGTAAATACGCGCTATTATTCCGCGCGAATCGAGAGTGGCCGAGAAAGACTGAGCTGGAAAAAGACGAGAGCCCAGTCCGCTCGCATGATTTCGCAGGCAATGGCGCGCGACGATCCGGTCAATTTGAATTTGTCGCGCACATACTAACCTCTGCCGATGCTGTGGGCCGCGGGAGCGCGACCCGACTTGCGAATGGGATGAAATTTCTCCACGGACGAGAGCCGTCGCGGTCGTCGTCGGGCTCCGGCGTCGTCGTCCTCGGAATCGGAGGTGCTTCCGTGTTTCACTGATTTGCGCGAAAACGCGCGATACAGAAACGTGAGAAAAGATCACGTACAGTCAGCACGATTCGCGAGGCGCGGGAGTATTGCGTCAGTCGCGACGGCGCTCGGCAATGCTGGACATGCGTCGCGCTGCACGGCCAAGCAACGTCTGCGATAGCGATACGCGCGAATCTAGTCGCGAACCCGGTAAACCTGGTTGCCATAGCATCGGACCGCGCGATTGGCGGAGAAGCCCCAAGGGCGGTGCTAATGCGGGTTGCACCTATTGCACTTCCGCAAAATGAAATTCTCGACATCACGAATATGAGCAACGAAAATGGCGTTTGTCAAAATCAAAAGCTCTCTCAAAAGAGCTCACTTTTTTTACGATTAGTAAATTGACGTCTTTATAAAGTGTCATTTGCCTACATAGTGTTATTTGTATTCACAATACTTCGTTTTCCTTGTTACACCCTTTTGACACTCTTTATTACGCATGAAGTTGTATGTACATCGGAGCATATGCGTATTTCGTATTTAAATAGTCGTACGTTATAACTGTATATCATTTAATAATTTAATTAGTTACTATTAATATTACTATTGTGTAGTTTTATTAAAAAATTTAACATTAATTTCTTACATATCAATAATAATATGTGACTAATAAAAAACTAATAAAAAAATTTAAAAAATTAATAAAAATATTATAAATGAAAAAAGAATATTTAGATTGTATGTGTATTATATTTCTTATATACCAAGTATATTTCTGTTCATATTTTGTTCACAATTTGATTATTTTTATTAAATAAAAATGCTATTTAAAGTTCGTATTCGTTTTAAATATTTACTAAATTTTAATTTTCGAATGCAACTAATTTCATACAAAGAATATAATTATATTAGCTTATAATAAGCAATTAGAAAATAGAGACAATATAATATGTTATCATTTCCCTGAGT